GGCGCGTGCCAGGGCCCCGAACGGGCGCGCTCGGCCGGGTTTGGGCCGCCTCCTTTCCCGCTGGCCTTTCGCGAGGGAGCGGCCTTTCTGCGCTGCTCGAGTTTTGAACTGCGCGCGCGCTCTCGGAGGCGCGTTTCCCCTTACCTGCCGCTTTTGGCCGCGCGTCCAATTCTAACTTTAAAACGATGGGGTTGGAGAGGAGGGCTTGCCGTTTGGGGTTGCGCTGGTGCCTGAGCAGCCCGTCCTCCCAGATACGTAAGCCTGCCCTGGACACTGACGGGTTTATCCCTTTGAAAAAATGGCTAAGGGGACCCTAGTGAACCACCGAATAATTAGGTACAGTTCTCATTCTGTCTGTTTTGCAGCTCACCGTCTTCAGGCAGCGATGACGAATTTGAAAAGTGTAAGTACTGTACTGTAAAAGTTAACCTGCAGAAGTACAGAAGGCCCTTTTTTTTGGTATAAGACTTTGAGCTCTGTTTGCCTGTCTGTTTTTCTTCCTGCTGTTCACTTCTGAAGATCCTTGTAGCACAGTTCCTTGTATGTTCTGTGAGCATGGCTCAGCTGGGAACGGTGCTCTGTAGAGATGGTAGGCCTTTCTAGATTTTTACCACCTAGTCAGATCAATATATTTTTCCAAGCTGTTAATGAAAAAGCCTTCGACAATACATTGTTAATGAAAAGCTGATTTTTCTTCTGTTGGTTATCTGGAATATTTGTTCTTAAATACTTAAGTTGTTTTTGTTAATATTATTTGGGGATGCTAAAAGAAAACTACAGAAACTGCTGAGAAACTGGGTAACAACTTTTAAAATAACTGAGTAGGATCTGGTCGTATCCTTTGTCAAACAATAACTGCATTTTGCTCTGTGTGGCTAACATCTTTTCAACCCTGCCTGAGCCTGGTGTGGTCTGAGCTGCCTCCCTGTGGCATTCTGCAGCACCTGCAGCTTTGAGTATCCTCAGAAGTAGCTGCCTGCACGTAAGGAATCTAATATTGAGGTTGCCAGAGTGGGAATTGAGGTACTCGCAGACCAGTTAGATCTAGAAAAAGACACTCTGTGCCCCAGAAGCAATTTCCCCTCATCTCTTGCTAAGCATGCCAAGTGCCTGCGATGACACAGAAGACACTTTAGAGCTTATGATTTGGATATGATTCCTCTCCTTTTCCTATGTAAGAGATCAAGTCATGCTTGGGAAAGCAGGGAGAATGTGCCATTTAATCGCTGGAGGGCACTTATTAAAGGATATGAAGGGTTGATTATAGATGCATAACTGAGAGAGCAAACAGGAACTTGGCAGGGGAGTCCAACTGAGGAGGAGGACAAGGCAGAAGAGAGGAGAAGGAAGTGGGACCAAGGGTTAGGGTTGCCAAGGAGGTGGACAAACTTTTGATATTGACACCGCGTAGCCGGTTGTTCCCAGTATTCTTTCCTTTCCTGGTCTATGCCTTCAGAAAGAAAGAGTGAAGAAAACACCACCTGCTATGCACTACTTCACTTTCCTGCTCACCACTTCGTAGCCCCTTGCAGTGTCTTCAAGGCAGAAGACCTATATACAGTGGTACCTCTACTTACAAACGCCCCTACTTACGAAATTTTCGAGATACGATCAGCTCCGGCCCCAAAAATTTACCTCTACTTACGAATTCGCCTCGACTTATGAGCCATTTTCCGCCCGTTCCACGTGGTCCGCGGCCATTTTTACGCCTGTGCCACGTGGTCCGCGGCCATTTTCCGCCCGTTCCACGTGGTCTCTGGCCATTTTCCGCCCGTTCCAGTGGTCCGTGGCCATTTCCCCACCTGTTCCACGTGGTCCGCGGCCATTTTCCGCCCATTCCACGTGGTCCGCGGCCATTTTCCACCCGTTCCATGTGGTCCGCGGCCGTTTTTCCGCCCCTGACACGTGGTCCGCGGCCATTTTTTCTGCTCTGCCGCGTGGTCAGCGGCCATTTTTCCGTCCCTGACGCGTGGTCTGCGGACGCCGGAACGGATTAACGGTAATTACATTGAACCTTATGGGAAAATTTACTTCGACTTGCGACCAACTCGACTTGCGATCAGAGTCACGGAACGGATTAAGTTCGTAAGTAGAGGTACCACTGCATTTGCTTAAGCTATGTGCCGGTTACATGGCTGAAAGAAAAATTAAGACCTTCCTATAATTGAGTTATATGGGAAGAGATAATGGTTAGTCATCCTTATAAGCCCTAGAAGTTGTTCAGTTATATCTTTGATCCAAACTCCTGACAGAAAGCACGTTTCTATGCCCGAGGGCTGGAAGATGGCCAATATGAAACCACTTGTTAAAAGTGATCTAGGGTAGACTTAAAAAATTATAGGCCGCTCACTATGTCTGCTTTGGGCAAAAGATCTGGGAGATTTGGATGGCCCCAACCCTGTTAGCCTTTGAAGGCCTGGCTGTTTGGGTCAGGGAGTAGATGGGCTCTGCTACTATGGATGGTGAATGGGGTCAACAATTTATTCTTGGGTATCGGCTTATATTTGGTGGGTTTCTCTGTTTTAATCTTGTAAGCCACCCAGAGTCACCTGTCTGAGAGGGTAGCTATATAAATCATATAAATAAGTTGAGAGAAATAAACAAACAAGAATAAGCATAAATTGGAACAAGCCTTGTTTAATTAAAATCAGCCAGGGAGTGTCCTGGAAAGGTGCATCCTTTTTGTCACAAATCTTTTAGAGGTTTTTGAAAGTTTTAAGAGGTCTTTGTGTGATCTCTTAAGTTTTCTTAACATATCTAGTCTTTGACTTACATATCTGAAGGGACACACTCTCCTCCCTTTCTGTTTTTGCTGCTAGGTACAAATCTTGCTCTCAGTGTTTTCAGCCATCCGTGACCTGGTTGCGTCTGCTTCCCCTCCAACTGTCTGCAAGTTAAAAATGGCTAGCCTAGCACGACCTTTCCAAGGGCAAGTCAAATGGCTTTCCCATTAAGTCTGAAAGATTCTGAAAGGGAAGTGAATTCTTAATTAAATCTAATTTGCTCTCTAGTTGTCCATTTGAAGACATTAAGACTTTAATGCTCTAAGGAGGCTAATTTTTTGTTTTCTTCTATGGTTTGCTTAGTTTTATTTAGAATGAGGACTCCCAGATCTGCTTCATGTTGCACACCAAGGACAAGAAACAGCAGGTGTGTTTGAAATTTTGTACTTTACATTGATTTGGGCTTTCTGAAACATGTTTAGTTTTAAATAATTAAGATCAGTTAAAAGTTAAAATACAGTTAAAAACAAATACAGTAGAGTCTCATTTAGCCGACCTTCGCTTATCCGACATTCTGCCTTATCTGACGCCCCTAAAAAAAACACAACATGCATAAATCGGCGACGAGAAAAGTGTACCGCTTGTTTGCGAGTGTCGGTGTACTCTTTCTTGTTGCTCCTGACGGTGCGGCGCCGCAACGCAAAAATCGATTGCAACAGGCGCAGCAGGTCGGTTTTTTTTTTTTTTTACAGCACTCAATCGTTACTGTGTGTTATCTGGCATTTTCGCTTATCTGACGTTCTGCCGGCCCGTTTATATTGGATAAGTAAGACTCTACTGTATAAACAACTATTAAAAGACAAACACAAATAGAACCAAAACTGGGAGAATGGACAATATCCTAAACACAATGCAACCATCTCGTAGGCTCTGTTCCCATGGGATCTACAAGGTTGCTGGAATAACCAAGTTCTAAGGGCTTTCTGGAAGGCTGGTAGGGACGGGACTAATCTCACCTTGGGGGGAATGATGTTCCAGAGGGTGGGTACCATGGCAGAAAAGGCCTGCCTCCTGGGTCCTGTCGGATGGAACTTTTTAACAGACAGGACCCATATCATACTGTTCCTGCCAGACCTGATGGGATGCGTAGATGTAATTGGGAAGAGGCAGTCCCTTGAATAACCTGGTCCCATGTCATGAAGGGCTCTAAAGGTGAAAAACAGCACCTTGAATTCAACCTGGAAGCAAACTGGCAGTCGATGTTACAGAACTAACATTAGACATAATATTCTGAATGCAAGCTGTCTCTAGATCTTTTACAGCTTGTATTCTGCTATGTGTGTGTGCCTCTGTGTTGCAGATTTTGCACCAAAACCATTTTGTCAGTAGTTGTCAGCGTTACATAGTAAACCAGAGTAGGAAACCAATGCCATGTAGGTCAGGACTACTTTAATTGTAATAGTTCTAGTGACAGAATCTTGCAGATCTTAATGTGTTCCCCCCCCACCTTTGTGTGAACTAGGGAGGGGCTTGGGTGAGATGTTTTCTCAAGTTACTTCCTTGGCCCAGGCTCAAGCCCCACTTATCTGACCATTGCCTTGGTAGTGGCTGTTCCTCCTGTCCTTCAAGGCCATTCCCTATGCCCTCTACACCAGTTTATTTAGTATATCCAAATCTGTCACGGGTAGTCTTTTGTCAGGCCTAGCCCAAGGAACTCCTGGAGACCGTGTAGGTTCAATCAGTAAGGTTTATTAGCTAGCACTTATTTACAGAATCTTTTCAGACTGACCAGTAGTTCCCAAGCACAACTCTCTACTATCTTCTGGAATGTTTAGGGATGCGCCAGCTTTCTCCGCTTATCTC